TGGGAGCAGAAAGCCTCATCTTTCTTCCACGGAACCACTGGTAGTTTCAAACTGGTGACCTTGAGGTTAGCAGCCTGACTAGTAACCATTAAGCTACCAGAGCTCCTTAATAATAACAATAACAACTAACACTTAATTTTTTACATGTTGTTGTTGAGAATATACATAGGAAAACATACACCAATAAGGTTCAGAGGGGTTGGGAAGGAGGATAGAATGGAAATAGGAATCACGGGGAGGAAGAGGGATAACTTGTTACAGGGTTGTTTTGTTCTGTGCCTTATATGTTGTGGAGTCGGTTCCAACTCATACTGCCCCTGCATAGGGTTTCCAAGGCTGTAAATCTTTAGGAGCAGAAAACATCATCAACCTCATCTTTTTCCAGCAGAAGAGGTGGTAGTTTCAAACTGCTGACCTTAAGGTTAGCAGCCTCATTCGTAACCACTAAGCTACCAGAAGGACTGCAATCATTGAGATGAGACAAAGTGGGTGGTTTGCTAGATGTAAAACTAATGATCTGCTCTGTAAACCTTCACTCAATTCACAATAAAATGTTTAAAAACAAAACCCAAAGAAGCCTAACTCAACAGTTTCTATGTGTACAAGGCCGTGACATGGAGTAGTGTTCTAGTTGCACCACCATTCTCACCTTCCTTTTTGCAGCTGTACCCCTGGAACAGGAACATAAACTCACTGCTCCTTCAGTTTTCTAGCTAATCATTCAAGTTGCTTTTATTGTCCTTTTGATCCTATGTTTAGAATTTGAAAGAGCACACAATGCTCAAGACAGACAGTCTTTACTAGTTAAGCTAAATTATTGCTGAACTTGGCTGAACTAAGACTTCAGGGGATATCTTTGGCTTAAGGTTTAAAGATTATTTGAGGACACCAATTGTAGGGGTTCATCGACACTCCTTTAGCTCCAGAGAGTCTGGAGTCCATGAGAATTTTAAACTCTGTTCTGTATCTCCTCCTTCCCCCTTAGAGCAGGCTGTTTATGAACTCTTTATGTTTAGTAAAGGTAGCCAGGTACCATCTAGTTCTTCTGATCTCATGGCAAAGGAGACAATTAGCATGCATTTCATATCCTCCTCTGATTCCTGAATCTCTTCCTTCTCTGCTACTCCAGGTGAATAGAAACCAGCTGTTGTGTCTTGGGTGGTCATTTGCAAGCTTTTAAGACCCCAGACACTACACAATGATCAGAGGCACTAAACACATTATTAGGCTAATTAACTGGGATGTCCCATGAAACCATGACCTTAAACCTCCAAACCAAGGAACCAAATCCCCCTGAGGTGTTTGGCTGTATATACGCAATCTCAGCAGCTACTCTTTGCGTTGTTACACATGTAAATGTGCTATATTTTCAATAGCTTACTGGCGGCAACAATTGGAATCATTTGTTATGCAATCCTAACCTTAATGTGATTTTGTCATCACCATTAACCCCCCTTTTCTCTCCTTCCTGCTCCAAGTAACTCCACATTTAGTAACTGACATTTACTAGGTCTTTACTTTTGTGCCAGGCACAGTTCTTTGCACTTTGTACAGCTACCCCTATGACGTTGATGAGGTGGACAAGGCACAGAGGCTAGACCACTCACTCAAGATGACAAAGCTTGCAAGCAGAGGACTCAGAATTTGAATGCAGGCAGTTTCTGAGCCCGTATTTGTGCTTCTCTTAACCACTACCCAGACCATCTCAAGGCCCTAGGATATGATACAGTGGAAAGAGCAGAGTCCCAAGTCAGGCAAACAGCTCTACTGGGGCACTGTGGGTTAATGCACCAGACTGCAAAACCGTTTGAACTGCAAGGTCAGTGGTTCAAGCTCACCAGCTGCTCCTTGGAAACCCTATACAGGGCACTATGGGTCGGAACCAACTCGACAGCACTTAAGAACAACATCCCTGAGCAGTCTGTTTAACTGCTAAATCTCAGTTTTCTTCTCTATAAAACAGGTACAAGAAATATACTTTCTGGAGTCATGTCCATAACTTAAGACCGAGTAAGTCCTCAGTGGTGCCCTGCCACACTGCTCTGTACATCCTTCTCCAGGCTGATTGGTCTGTGACACATTCATTATGGCAGCTTCTGCCCTGGCAAAGTTTGGATCCTTTATATTCTGGTTTAGTCTCTTCTGTATCTACTTTGTGCCTATCATGCGTGGGACTCAGTCCCAGACATAGAGGGGCAGGAGCTCAGAGACTGAGACTGGAAGGAGGGAACTCAGTCTAAGTAGGTGGTGGCAGTAGGGTTGTGGGCAGGAGCTGGCTGAGAGAAACCTGGCTTTAAGCTGGCAGGAACTCATCCCCTCCTCCAATTTGGCTCCTTCTTGCTGGCCTCCTGCCAGGGCTCACAGGTGGCTGCTAGTTGCTTTCAACTGCAAAGCTAACACCCTGAAGGGCCCCAACTGAAGGTCTCATTCCTTCAGTGGCAGGGAGCCTCAGGTGGTGCCTGGCTCACAGGCAGGAGACATGCCCAGAGCACTGACTGTGTCCACCTGTCCTTGCTCTGGAGCCATTCATTCAGTAGGCCAGCCACTGGGGGCAAAATGGAAACTAGCAGTCTGCCTTCAAGAAGCTGACCAGCATGCCCCGCTCTTCCACTGCCTCTTAAGCCTCCTTACTGACTCCATGGCACATAACTACCACCATATACATTATATATATATATGTTGTTGTTGTTAAGGGCCATCGAGTCGATCCCGACCCATAACAACCCTGTATAGGGTTTCCGAGGAGCGGCTGGTGAGTTTGAACCGCCAACCTTGCAGTTCAAACAGATTTGCAGCCTGGCGCATTAACCCACAGCACCATACACCAGGACTCATATATATATATATACATACACACACATATACACATTCATATACATATATGTGTGTGTGCATATGCATACACATGCACACACATATATAAATAGGAGTCCTGATGTGACACTGTGGGCTAATGCACTGGACTGCAAACTCGGTTTGAATCACAAGGTCACTGGTTCAAGCTCACCAGCTGCTCCGTGGAAACCCTGTATAGTGTCGTAATGGGTTGGAACTGATTCAACAGCACTTAACAACAGAGTGTGTGTGTGTGTGTATATGTGTATATATACATATATATATATATATAAAATCCCCATGTGCCAGGCACTTCACATACACAGTTCTCCTAACAATTTTGTGAGGGAGCATTATTGTGTCCATTACATGACCCATTAAGAAAATGAAGGCTTACACAGAAGGCCAGAGCCAGTTTGAGCCCAGGCTGTCTGCTTCCCGAGCGTACAGCCCGAGGTTACCTCTGGTAGTGCAGCCTGCTGCCCTGAGAACTCTGGTTCCTTTTTTCATCTGGAATTTGTGCCTTCACATATTTAGGCTCCCTGCAATCTTTCTCATTGTGCTGATCCCAGGGGAAGCCAACCTCTCCCAGTCCTGTGACACCAGCAGCAACAACATCCTAGGCACTGCCTTTGATTCCTTGATTAGCTTGTCTTAATTACTCCCAGGCTGGAGCAGTTCCGGTATAAAGGATCTGGCACTGCTGCAAAGGATGCAGGTTTGCTGCTACATTTTCTCACTCCTCTCTCTGACTCCAGCTCTTTTTCCTCCCCACCCCCTCTGGTGGTGGCCTCCCTCCTCTGCTGTCCTTGTTTTGCCTCTGCACACATCTCCTTTGGGCCTGCAAAGTAGTGTTTCAAACTGCTGCCACCCCAGGCAGCTAAGCCAGTCTAAGTCAATTCAGTAAGGGGTGCTGGAGTCTCGGCTGAGTGCCCTTCAGAAGTCGAAGAGGTTAGGTGGGAAAAATCACTGACACAGGCAGGAAGTGATAGGGTTGTAATAGAGTCCTAAAATAGCAGAGCTGGAAGGAACTTTGGATTTCTATTTTAGCCCCTCCATTTTACAGATGTGGGAACCAAAGCTCTAAGGAGGACAATTACTTGAAATAATACCTGTAGTACTTATTAGGAACTGATATTTGCTCTTTCTATATGTGCTTTATATATATATATTAGCTCATTTCATCCTCTTACCAACCCGATGAGGTAGGCACTAGTGCTCTCTTTACATCAACGTTGAAGAAAGTGAGGCACAGAGGGGTTAAGTTCTCATAGGTAATATAGTAAGTGGACGCCTGTATTGAATTCATGCAGTCCGGCACTACAAGATGGAGGTTGTTGTTGTTATGTGCTGTGGAGTCGGTTCCGACTCATAGTGACCCTGTACAGGGTTTCCGAGGCTGTAAATCTTTACGGGAGCAGAAAGCCTCATCTTTCTCCCATGGAACAACTGGTAGATTCGAACTGCTGACCTTGTGGTTCACAGCCCAATTCGTAACCACTACACTACCAGAGCTCCTTTACAAGAGGGAGGTAGTAGCGTCTTTAATGCACCATGAAATGAAGACTGAGTCTACTTGTAGAAGTAATAAGGCTTCCTCTACTTGGGAAGTAATGAGAAGGCTTCTTAAGGAATTACTTATAAGCCTGATTATAAAAACACTGAACCTGGTCATTCAAGTCAACTAAGAGGGAGCTTTAATGAACCAGAGGTCTGGATTCAACTGGAAGTTTCTGAGTAGCCAAGAAATACGTGGCATAGAGAGCAGTGAGGAGAGCCTCACATTTCCCAAGAAAGAGCCACACCAAGAGGGAAGAACTTGCTATCAGGGACTTATTCAACAAGTACAAAGCAGCCAATTCATTCCTTCTACCCAAGATGTACCCAGTATATAAGATCTTTAATGTCCTCAAATGCCACTTCCTGAGGCAGGGAGGCCAACGCCTTAATAAGATGTTCAATGACATGGATTAAAATTTTCAAAGGGGGCTTCTAGTAAACCCTCAGTCAAGCAAATATTTCTAATACACAGAAACTTTCCTGAGGTTCCCCTTCACCACCACAACATACATACTTACACACACACACGCGCGCACGCTGGCTTCTGGTTAATCAATAGTTTTCTCCAACTCAAAATGAATAGTTTCAATATAAAAACTACTTACCAATCACAGCCAGATTATGCTCTGAGCCACAAGAGACCTGTAAAAAGAAAGAAAAGAAATTGTATTAGAGAAATAAGAATAGAGAGATTCCAGCTAGTATATTTTATGATCACAGGGTTTTCTAATGACATCTAATTTTAGAGACTTTCAGAGAAGAAGTGGTATGGGGCACCATATACAAAGGTTAAGACTGCAATTACAACACATTCACAGCTGTGTAAAAAGAAGAGGTGGAAAAAGTATTGACTAGAAATCCACCAAGAGGTTAAAGTAGGTAATGAGAGCATGAGTGATTTGTTTTATCCAATAAAGATGAAAGACTCTAAAAACTGAACTGTAAAGATCATCCTTTCGCCTGGACTGATAAAAGTGAGCAAAGAATTCAGTAAAAAGAGACTCATCCAAGGAAAAATGCTTAACTTTTCCTCATCTGCCCCCTCTCCCTCCTACCTTTCACCTTTCAGCCACACAAACGCCCAACAGTTCTCTGAGCACATGCTGTTCCTCTGACCAAAATGCCCTCTCCTGAAGGAGAGGAAACTTCTATTCAGCCTTTAAAATCTCGGCTCAAAGGGTCCACTGAAGCTCCTTCGCTGTTGCTTCTAGGCAGACTCAGGTACCCCTTTCACTATGCACCTTACCTGTACCTCCATTCTAGTAACTATATTATTGTGTCTTAACCCATAAAGTACATGTGTCTAGAGGTAAGATTGAGTCTCATTCACCTATTTTATAGCTGATCATACAAGGCCAGGGACTCAGTTGTGTGCCATCATCGGTTCTGACTCACAGTGACCCTCTGAGGCATGGCTAGTGGGTTTGAATCACCGACCTTGCAGTTAACAGTTCAGTGCTTATCCTAGAGCATCACACCTGGACTCTGTTAACACCTGCTGAATGAGAGACTGACTGAAAGAACAAAGCACATAGAAGAACAAACACCTAACACATAAAAGAATCCAGTGTTTCCATTCAGTGAGAGACACTTCTTGCCTTTCAGCCTCCTTATGTCCCAGCTGCTACCAGGAGGAAGTGGCTGGGAACACAATAGCACAGCTAGTTCTCTGAGTACTAATTAAAAGGCACTCTCGACTCTGGAGAAGCGTCCTGTGAGATGCATGCTTCTTTAGCTCCTGGCAAGAGGAAGGCTACAGATACTCATAGGGACCCCTGGAGATCATCTAGTTCACTCTTTCCATAGCACAGGTAGAAAACAGAAGCTCAGAGAAGGGAAATAACTTGCTTTGGGTCTCAGACCAAGTCTGAGTCAAAATTAAGACTAGATTCACTCTGATTCTCACAAAAATTCCTTTCTTGAAGTTACAGCTTCTTTATCTTTTTTAGTGAAAACCACTTGTAAGTAATGGTCAAAGATTCTTAGTACAGGTCTCTGTCTATATACTGACCCTCTTTCTGTCCCCAAAAGAGGAGTGCTCTGGAGAGAGAACATCTAAGGGGAGAAAGGTAGTCCAGTTTGTGCTACTATACCCTGTGGGGATCTCTTGCTGGTGGACTATGTTCCCACTTTGTAACTCATACCCAAAGTTAGACAGATACCCTTTGTCAAAATTGCTCAGACAGGCTCACACTGCAGCAAATCAACAAAACTCCATAACTTTATCGTCAATGGGGAAATAACAAGAAGGAATATTTCTGGAGGAGAATCAAGTTTAACAGAATAACAGCTAAGTTTCTCAAATAAGACCTTCTAGGAAAGGGAACTTAGAATTGTTGAAAACCTTCTATGTGCTTAGCTTGTGTAGGACACTTATATATAACTGTTTGTTCATTTAATTTTTATAAATTTCAAAGGAAATTATTACTATACCCATTTACAGATGAGGGAAGCCAAGCTTCAGTTAAATGTCTACATATGGTATTCAATATCACTGTCATTGTTATTACGTATTGGCTAATTGCCTGTCTAGCTTAGTCTGAAGCTCAGCTGAAACTTGTCCACTATGGGTGACCTTGCTGCTATTTAAAATACTGGTGGCACAGCTTCCAGCATCACAGCGACATGCAAACCACCACAGTATGACAAACTGACAAATAGAGGTAACCCAATGGAATGCAGAAATTATTGGAAAATATCATTAATATCATATGCAAGTAAAATTTTGTGAAAGATAATTTAAAAAAGGTTGCAACAATATGACAGGAAATTGCCAGAAGTTCAAGCCAGATTCAGCCAAGGCTGTGAAACAAGGGTTATTACTGTTGACATTAGATGGACCTTGGCTGAAAGCAAAGAATACTGGAAAGATGCTTACCCTATGCTTTATTGACTATGCAAAGGATTTTGACTGTGTGAATCATGACAAGCTACAGATGACACTGCAAAGAATGGGTATTCCAGAATACTTAACTGTGCTCACCAGGAACCTGTACATAGACCAAGAGGCAGTTGCTTGAACAGAACAAGGGAACACTGAATGGTTTAAAATCAGGAAAGTTGTGTGCCTGAGTTGTATTCTATACTTATTCAATCTACATGCTGAGCAAATAATCTGAGAAGCTGGATTATATGAAGAAGAATGTGCCATCAGAATTGGAGGAAGACTCATTAACAACCTGTGGTATGCAGACAAGACAACCTTGCTTGCTGAAAGTGAAGAGGACTTAAAATATTTGCTTATAAGATCAAATATTACAATCCACAGTCTTCAATATAAATTGCACTGAATGCAAAGAAAACAAAAATCCTCACAACTGGGCTGATAAGTAATGGTAAATGGAGAAAAGATTAAAGTTGTCAAAGACTTCATTTTGCTTGGATCCACTATCAACACTCAACACAAGCAGCATGCAAGAAATCAAACAATGTATTGCACTATGCAAATCTGCTGCACAAAACCTCTCCAAAGTGTTCAAGAGCCAAGATGTCAGTTTAAGGACTAAGGTGCACCTGACCCAAGACATGGTATTTATTTTTAATGAATTTTTTTAAAGTTTTTATTGTGAATTGAGTGAAAGTTTATAGGGCAGATCGTCAGTTTTACGTTAAAAAACTCATATACTTTGTTTCATTACAATGGTTATAATCCCCTTCATGTATCATCAGTCAACAGTATTTCTCTCTACTCATTTGTTTTGTTTTTAAAAACACTCAGGCATATATAACAATTTAAACCACCAAAGGGCACATTCTGCGAGTTTGCCTCCTGGCCACCAGCTCTCAGTCCCTTCTCTTCCACGAATCTAGAGTCCTCAGCCACTCCCTCTCTTCATGTCCCCATCTCCGCCTCCATTTCTGGGGTCACTGCCTCTCTGGATGTTGTTGTTGTTAAGTGCCATAGAGTCGACTCCGACCCATAGCGCCCATGCATAGGGTTTCCAAGGAGCAGCTGGTGAGCTTGAACTACCGACCTGGCAGTTCAAACAACTTTGCAGTCTGATGCATTAGCCCACAGTGCCACACCAGGACTCTCTGGATAAGGCCCCACATTTTGCTTGTGCTCTTCTCCCTTGATGGTCCTAGGGTCCTGTTTCTGGACTATAAGATTAACTACTCCCCCATTTTTGTTACAAAACTTCTACCTTTACAATTGTGACAGTCACAATTAGTCATGATAACAATTACTATTGAATCATAAGAATCTTATCCCCATCTCTTTTTACCAAACCCATTTAGACTAGATGAAAACTATCAAGTCATGGTATTTTCAATAGCCTCATATGCATGCAAAAGTTAGACAATAAAGAAAGCCATAGAAGAATTGATGCATTTGAGTGAGCTATGCTGTTGGAAGAGAATATTAAAAATACCATGGATTGCCAAAAGAACAAATCAATCTGTGTTGGAAGAAGTACAACTAGAGTGTTCCTTAAAAGCCAAGATGGCCAGACTTTATCTCTCATACTTTGGACATATAATTAGGACCTGTCCCTGGGGAAGGACATCATGCTTGGTAAAGTGGAGGGTCAGTGAAAAAGAGGAAGACTCCCATTGAGATGGATTGGCACTGTAGCAGCAGCAGTGGGTACAAGGGTAACAACAGGAGTGAGGCCGGAGCAGGACTGCACAGTATTTCATTCTGTCGTGCATAGAGTCGATATGAGTTGGAAGTGACTTTACAGCACCTAACAACAACAACAATTGCCTGTCACTATGTTAAGTACAGGAGTCCTGATGTGGCGCTATAGGATAAGCACTGAGACGCTAACCTCAAGGTCAGTGATACAAGCCTACAGCTGCTTCTCAGAAACCCAGTACAAGGTTGCTGAGGGTTAGAATCCACTCAACAGCACTTCATAACAACAACGTTAAGCACTGAAGGAGCTCTGGTGGTGCTGTAACATAAACACTGCTTACTCTGTAGAGTAAGACTGCTAATTACAAGGTCTGTAGCACAACCCACTTGTTGCTTAGGAAATCAGAGGCTTTCTGCTCCATGAAGATTTATAGTCCCAGAACCCCGACACAGGGTCACCATGAGTCACAATGGACTAAATGGCAGTGGGTTTTGTTGTTGTTTTTTATGTTGGGTATTAGAAATATCAAGAGTAAGGCAAAAGTCCCAGTTTCCCTCCCAAATTCCCATTTTAGGGAGTTTTTTAAGGACTATTACAGGATCGGAATCCAAAACATACAGAATATGTTATAGGATAGGAATGAAAAACATGCCATGGAAACATACAGGGTAGCTGAATTGTGATAGTTAGTTGTTGTTGTTAAGTACTGTTGAGTCAGTTTCAACTCATAGCAACCCTGTATTGGGTTTTCAAGGAGTGGCTGGTGGGTTTGAACCACCAATCTTGTGGTTAGCAGTCCAGTGTTTACCCAACAGTAGGATTATAAAATAGCTTTCTTTCTGTCTCTCTTATCCAGATGTCTTTAACTGTGGTAATAGAAGTGATAACAGCAGGTATTAAAGTTATCATAAATTGAGAACTCATATGTGCCAAGTATCATGCCAAGGTACTTTATAAATATTACTACATTTACAAAGAGATCATCAAAATAATCTCTTCAGGTAGTTTTGATTTTGCTCATTTGAGAGAGAAGGAAACTAAGGTCCATAGAGATGAAAATCT